AAAAGTATCTTCACATAGAAATTAAGCAATTCTAAACAAACTATTCATTGGGAAGGCCAACAGAGAATTTCAGAAGAGCAAGAGAGTAATCCATGGCATCCCAGTATAAAAAGAGAAAGAAATGACAGGAGACATTTTCTTACATCATACATGAGACCTTGAAATCCCATTAGGGGTGCTTGTACAAGACAACCATATCTTTCCCTCTGATATTTTAAAAGTATTTTAAAATAATAAATTCTAGAGTGATCTAAAAGAGAAGTGTCAAAAATCAAAATGAAGATGACTTCTTGTCCTCTGATCAACAATGACATAATATTGTCTGAAGACAAAACTGGATAAATGCCTGCACATATGCTCACACGTCCTGTAAGAAAGTTTCTAAAAATCATAGGGAAACAGCACAGGAAGTAGAAAGAACCAGTCTCCCTACATTCAGCCACTCAAACACCTAGATCTATCATGACCTCTTCAAGCTGCATTATAGTTATAGAGTGGGAACAAGAAATCAATGCCTCAACAGAAAAATCTGTCAATGTAAGGTAAAGTCTTGTCAAAGTGCTGGAGCACTGTGGGGCTTGTGAAGATCAATTACAGTAGCAGTCAAGAGGACTGCGCATCCCAGCACAAAAGCACTCAAGGCCATGACAGTCTACAATAAAAATTTTTGAATGTCTGGGAATACATATCGATAAATTCAGCTGAACCTCAAGGCCTCCAACTTCAGGTTAATCTATAACTTTTTTTAATACAAGCAATTTTCCCTGGGTCTTTTTTTTAATATATTTTGAAAAAAATTTGTTAATGTTTTCACCATTCTGCTTCCTTGGAAAATGCTGTGAATGTCATTGGGTAAGGGAAAAGAAATATCAATATATTAAATCCAAATAAATTATAAAGAAAATATCATTGGAAGTGGAAGTAAATTAACTGAACAGGAACTGTAATGAACTACACAAAAAGAGACTAAATACTAAAGCCTGGAGGAAAAATGGATAATCTGAAACACAGGCAAATTAATGAGACTTCATTGCAATTAGCAATGTAGAGAAATATATTCCATATTCATGGCAGAAAAAATGCTACCTGCTCTAGATAAATGTGAACTTAAGTTAATGATACTGCTGGCAATGTTGCCTTCATTTTCATGCTGCATTCTATTTTGTGATACACTACATATGCTTTAATTCTTGTAAATACCTTCCACCTCATTGCTTGGAGTAATGAATCACCCTGCAAACACAGTTGCTTCTCTACCAATTTTAGAATCAATTCTATTTAATGTAGAGCAATAAAGGCATATTTGGAATTTTCTGTTTTCAACCACAACACTGTAAAAGAAAAAAAAATACTTTTTTGCAATTTAGTGTGCACAATATTACAATAGCACAGTACAGAAACATTTTTATGCTAATATAATATCAAAGGTATTTGTGAATTGGTCTTTTCATATTCTTTAGTGCTTGCACATCAAACTTGTTGCAGACCTTCACCTTTAGTAACTACATCTTGAAGGGTAAATTCAAGCAATACAAAAACAAGACAACAATGCAAATAATCATAAAATAATAGCTAGCTATAAAACATCCTGCAATTCTCTCAAGGCTGATTTTCTGCCATAAGCAATGTAGGGACAGGCTAGGTGAAAGGAAAGTCATAACAATCATCACCCAGAGAGAAACTATGATTAAATGCCCTAACTGACAGTTGGGTAACTGCACAGAGGCAACAGTAACATTGTTAGCTGCTCATGCCGAGTGTCAGAGTAATGAGAAATTTGTCACGGAATTGACGCAAGAAAAAAAAATTACACTGGCAGGAGTCTCTTTGGCCCTTACTGGGTTCCACTGAGGATGATGAAAACGTATGCTTACCCCCTATTCTGCCCCCCAAGGAAAACAACACCAAGTGTCAGTTCAGGTATGCATAAATTTTGAACTCTACAGTAACAGCAATTAGCAGTTTTGTTCCTTCTTTTCATCATGATATTATAGCACAATATCTTTAAATGAATATTCTCTGGTCAGCAAAAATATTGTCTTGCCTCCTCTATTTTGGGCAACTGCTTCTGTAGAGGATAATTGCTCATTTTAAACCTGTAATTGAATAAGATGAATCTGTTTCCCTAAGATCCTCTATAAACAGCAAATCATGTACCAACTATAAAAGTAAAAACATTTTAAGGTAGAGATAGCATTTTTAATAACCAAAAGCATATAAACAAACTTAATTTCCACTTCAGCTGTGCATACACTTCAGCTGTGTGCTGTGCAAGTGCAAGTTTGTATCACAATGACCTCTTCAGACATAGAGGACCCAGTGTAAAGCAGGTGGGCTGGCAAATATTTTAGATATTAAGTGTTGCCTTTATGGTCTTAGCTGCTTGACATTAGCAAAACATAACACAGAGGTTCTGAACATGATTTTTTTTGGTAAATGTATAAATTTAAGTCTAAACAAACCCACTGTCTGGAGAAAATTAAAAGGTACTATTTTCTGATTGACAGTACACAAAAAGCACCCCTTACTGTTTTTATAAAAGCACCTCAGATTCAGAAATTCTATCAAAATTTCTTATTCATTTCTACCACAGAAGTAGAGAAAGAGAAAACATATACCCTTTTTATGATTCACAACATGTTCTGAGGTAGACATTTGCCATAATATACCAGCTATATATTTCAAGGCATCAGACAAGCTGCATTTACAAGCAAGCAGCAATCTATTATTATTTATCTGCAAGCAGTAAAAGCTTTACAGAACATTTTGTATTAAAAAACCTTAGCTAAAGCACAGGCCTCCTAAACACATGAAATGAGAACCACACCAAGCAGACTGTAATTGGAATCCAAAACCCCACTCTTTTCTCCTCTGCAGTATACATAGATATAGAAGAAAGGAGCTGTTTGATGTACACTAAAAGGTAGAAGATGCAAACCTACATAACTGTGAAGCACACAGGTTACTGTATGCTCAGCTGTTTTCTTTTGGGACATATATTAGGGCTTTATTCTTTATTATATGAGCATGGGATCTGACCATTACTTCTGATATATGAAACAATAACAAACCTATTTCCATGAGACAGGTTTATTTAAAGAAAAACTATCAAACCAGTGTTATTTCACAGCAGTATCTGCTCTTTTTCTGTCTTCTAAAATTTTGAGACAGAATAAAAGTTGAATTTTTCTTCTAGAAAAAATATTACTAGAGTGGAGGCTAACATAACACACTAAAAGCATAAAAGTTACCAAAAGGCAGATTAAATACCCTTCATCCTATCAAAACTAGAAATACCCAGATGCTTTAAGTCTCTAACTGTTCTTGCAGATAGCAAAGCAGTGGGTTTACTGGAGATGAACCAAAACTTCCACACCCTCAGAATACTGATGCACACATATTGCTCCCACCCTCTCATGCCCTTCAAATAAAGAAATGAGTATAGCTTACACTTATTATCTGTGTATTAAACACAATCAAGGTAACTGACCAAATTCTGGTAAGATCAAGAACTCAAGAGAGTACGTTATTTTAACTCAAAAATATTTCAGTTTTGCTAGAGGATCTTTTTCCTTCTAGTCTAAATGGGACTCACCATAAGGTGCAGAGATAAAACTAAGACTGACACTTCTGATCATAGAAGCAGCAGCAGTACAAGAAAGCAGCAACGCAATGACACATCAGACTGGCCTTGTAAAATAGAAGTACAGTAAGCTACTAAAAAAAAGTTGTGAATACAGATTTAGATGTGTTTGAAAATCAGTGACTTGTATCTGCTTTTAATAGCTTGGATCAGTGCCTGTAGATACCCAGACTATAGCAACCAAAGTTCCACTGACTCAAGCAACCTTGAGTTTTACACATAGTAAAAAAAAATCATAACTGGTGACCATGAAATGAACATAAATACAGGTTAAAATACTTCATTAAATCTAAGTAACAAAACCAACTACATTATCCTCTTGATTTTGTCCAGGAAATCTATAAACAGGTCATTACTGTTATAGCTTACAAAATACATTTCTACCTCAATGGAATGCAATGCATGTCTATTAAAATAAAGTTTATTTTTTGTCTGCCCTATCTAGTTATATCTGCATCACTCTTCTTGCAACACAGGGATGAAGTGAGCAGAACAGTCCTCTCAGAATCTACTCACACTCAGTACTTTTTGCTACCACTGTTGTACTGTCAAGTTCCTAAAATCATTATATCTATACATTGTCAGAAACTGAAATTCTGTCTAAATGGTCACCCAGCTGAGTAGCTCATGTGCCTTTCAAAGTTCTGGAAGTCTTCCCCATGGGAGTAAGATCCTGAGACAGAAGCAAGCCATTTGGCTCACAGTTCTGGAGACAGAGCACTAAATTTTAATTGTTAAGTCAATCATGTAAAACTGGGCTTCTTTGCTACGAGTCCTTCAGCGAAAGCTCCCTTTCTGTGATAATACAAAGAAAAACTAAGCACAGGGCCAATAAAGTCACTCCAGTACCAACTTATTACTCCTGTTCTGGGAGTGGAGGAATACAGTAAGTTCTGATACAGGTTAAAAAACATTGTAATTTTTATAGCTAGAGATGCTGCACCACAGCTGAGCTATGCTATAGAAAAAGCAGCACTTACTTCCTGTACCCAGGCAAAGGCCTTGTATACTAACACAAGCTGTGTTCACAAAGTTTCACTTCATGGTCCTGTCTTGCTATAGAGCTTACAATTTCATTGAAAGGATACACAGCTACATCACTCTAACCATTATATCATAAGAAAAGCACATAAAAGTGTTCCTCTGAGACCCACCTGTTCCTTGTTCTAGACTAACAATCTTGCTTTGCACAACAGCCCTCTTGTAGGAAGAGATTAATCCTCTCCAGAGGTCAGACTTCTGGCATCCATATTCAGTATTAGTTTTACTCAGTTTCAAGCATGAATTACACAGAACACATATCAGACAACATTTTCAAAACTATTTATTTTAAGCCTTAGAGGGATTTTGTATTTACCTTGTTTTTTAAAAAGGTTGCTGCGTACTATTTCCTTCATGGATTGCACTTTCTGCTTCTGTAGTTTGACTGGTGGAATGCAAGTGTAAAATTCATATAGTAGTTGGCTGCATGTAAAGGAAAAGAGTTGTAAATATGGCACAGAGAATTAACCACGTTTTAATAAAGAAAGACAAAGAGTAAAATATAATATGTTTTCAAGCACTTCTTTTTAAGACTTTGATTTATTTACCATATCACAAATATTGACAAGAAAACAGTAGCAGTTTAGAAAGAAAACTTTCAAAAGAAACAAGATGAGGATGAACTAGACTTTGGACATGTTTACAGATGTTTATTACTTTCCATTTTTTTTCAGAACAATAAAGACATATTTATGTGTGGCGGAGACAATTGATTTTTGTTTAATAAATAGAGAAAGATACTTATTTAAACTGCTAAAATCAGATGTCATTTTCTGTAATATGGCTTATGCCAAGAGAGGTTGTTCCACTTGCTTATTTTATTTACCAAGTTACTGCCTAAGTATCAGGTGACCAAAATTAATTGTCATTATGTGAGTCAGATGAGAACTACCTGTTAAGAACATATGCCCAGAGTTCAACCACTGTCCTGATGAGTATGAACTGGCATAGCTTTGTTGACTTATTGTTATTCAATAATAATGTATTGTTTACAGCAGTATTACACTGCAGACGCCATGTGATATATCTACTAAATGTTCAAATGCAACTCACCTCAGTAACTTGGCATCAAAGACCATTTCAACATCATGAAGAACTGATGGTATGTACTTCAAGGCAGCAACCTGCATTGACATATAGATTGTGTTAATTTCTCAGATGAGAACTATTCAGATATTAATTGCAAAAAAAAAAAAAAAATAATCTGCAGCAAGGGTGCTTACAGTATTTCAGACTGGTTCAACGCTGGTTTAAGATGCCTTCAAATAAAGTAGTTCCTCTGCAGACCTTATTCTCACATTCACACACAATTCTGAGAACCTTAACTAAGTATTTAAAAGCTGTTGCCACTTCAACAAAAAACACTATCTTCTACATTATTAGGTCCTTGAAACAGCTGGGGAAAAATTACTTTATTTTTCTTTTACAAAGTAATCAGGTCTGTGAAAACCTGAGGCTATTTAAAACACCCATAAAGATATCTCTGGTGGGCTAAAAATGCAACAAATACTGTGTGAAGACATTGTGCAATAGCAGCACCTGAATTCCATTTTACATCAATTCACAGTTACTGTGAAAGATGTTTTATAAACATCAAGGCCACCAGCAGCCACAAAATATTTCAGTCAGTATTCCACTGACACTGAGTCTATTGTGTTGTCTGCCTTTCCACATACTCCCTATTCTGCACTTGCATGAGGAGGGAAAGGGGAAGGATATCACTACCATTTCTCTGCAGATCTACTGTACCAACTGAAGTACAATAACAAGTATATCACCTGCATTCTTCTGAACTCCCAAGTTCATTTGCAATAATTGCTTCAAATGACGCACTATGGACATGAACTGAACACTGCCCTTAATGAAGTCATAAAAATCTCCTAGTAAGCAGTACAAGATGTTCTACATTCTTCAGACCTTAGAGAATATTTTTTTTAAGTGGGATACAGATACACCCACAGCGTTGCAGAAAATCCATGCATATACAACCTAATGTGCAATTTATTTTAACCTTTATACCTGACCAAGCTTATTTTCATAGTTATCCTTGTTTGTAACATTACATTACCTGTTGATGAAATTTAAGTACCCATGAGATGGAAACATTTTAAGAAATCACTGATGTTCTGTTTGTCATTATAATCCTATTTGCTATCAAGGCAACTTCTAAAAGTTCCTCTGCTCTCCCCTGTTGTACACCACAATCAAAACATCAACTGTCAGTATTTTTCTAGCCTTACTCTTTCATAAGTAATCTTTGCACTTCTGTACAGTTTGAAGTTCTTAGTTTCTACTCCAGTAATAAGGACGACTCAAATGTGTGGGAAATAATAAGAAAATAAAGGTAGCATATTTATACTGCATCATTTTCATACTTTTTAATGCCACAGACAATTCATTATTCCTATGATTCCATGACCTTGAGAAGGTGTCATATGAGGTTTCTGAAAGTATGAACAGAACAGGGAGCATTTTAAAACCAGTGCTTAACAGCAAACTCGGTCTAGCTGACATTTACAACAGACAAGAACGTCTGTAGGTCAGATGTGCTGTGTCAATTGAGGCACAGAGCAGTTTTTGGAAAAGAAGCTGGAGCTTGATTTGTAATTTGAGGTTGCAAGCACAAGCTTGTCAATGAAAGGGCACACAGACTACAAATCAGGCACCACCAGTATGACTTAATAAAAACACGATCTGACATTTAAAAATAATTAATCAGATTTTATTCCCCAGAAGTATAGACTGATTTAGAAAGACTCAAAACATATCTGCAGAAAACTATGTTTCTTCCCTGAGAATCAAGAGAAAGGTCAGAAGGAACTAACAACACCTTGCTCCTCCTCACCTCCACTCTCCTGACCAAGAGGAACTTGCAGGTTCTGGAAATTTATTATTTATGTAGTTGATATAATTGCTTTCAAACATCAGGAAATGCTTTATAACAGCAAAGTTAGGACACTGGATTTATGGTTCTAATTGTAGTAAAATTACTTCATGCACTGTTGAAGTTAGTAATTCTATCTACACCTTTAAACAAAATAAGTAATTTCAGTAATTCCAGAAGTAAAAAGGAAAGGCTTATTTGAATTTACATGTAAATTTCCAGTTTGGAAACAACAAATTAACAATTCAGTTTTCAGCTATCCAAAACTTATATGAACAGTACTGCAAAAAAGAATCTCATACCTACCCTCTTAAAGCTTAAGTCAAAACATTTCTCAACTTCAACCACCTTAGAACAAGATACCAAATAGCTAGATTTTCACCTCCTTGTAAATGTTTACAGCATGTAACTAATTAGGAAGCAAGACATCACTCAGAAGATAAACTGAAATAATAAAGTGCTTCTGGCAGTGACTAGGCTGTTTCATATCACACATAATTTTATAAAATATATTTTCCTGACTGAATTAATATTCAACACAAATATGATTATGATTGCTATCAGAAAAAATTACTGGGAAGTTACTACTGACTGATATACAGAGCCCCAAGTTTTAAAAAAAAATCATTGGAAAACAACAGACATTTTAGGTTTCAAATAACATTTTAAATATTCTAAAACTAAACCTCATACTTGGACAAACAAGGATTAATAAAGAGTTAAAAGTTTACAGTACAAGGCTCTGTAAACTAGTTCATTTTCAGTTTCAATGTCCCAGGAAATCAAATTACTTTTAACTTTATTCAGGGCTCCCAAAAGTTCCTCCTCTGTTCTGATATCTTCAGAGTGTAATCCACTTGAACCCGTTCAATTCATCCTACCAAACTATATTCCACTGGAATTCATATCAGTGGTAATTTCAAATGTAACAGATTCAAGACTGTTTTGATACTCTGTTTTTCCAGTGGGCTCTGTGAACTTCCCTCTCTAGGTGTGCAAGGTACACACTTGTGGACTCCCGTTTTTCAGTACCATCTCAGTACCTCTCCCTTACTGTGCAAAGATAACTTTGTACTACTACACCTATCATCTCCAAAAAACTTATTACTGAGTCTAGGAAGAAAGAAATCACTGTTGCAAAACCAGAGGAAAAGACAAGACCAATAAATATATTTCATATTGAAGCATGTATGAAGCATCAATATTGCAGTTGTCCAATAACATCTTCTGTTTCCTACTAAACAGGAAGCCTTGATAGTTTTCTTTTTTAACGCAGAACGACACATCAATTATCTTATACTAATTATCTTATTAGGGCATTTTTTTTCTAGTTTTCTTAAAACATCAGAATCCAAAGTGGTAAAATAATTAGTATTTATATTAATGGCAAACTTTGATCGTTTTTGCAGTTGTTTTAATGATGCACCTCCGAACGGCTGATACTATGAAGTTTGATTTTCAAACTAAGACTGAGGAATTCCTGTTGAACAGTATCTGAAGAAACCCAAAAATCAAACATTCAGCTCCTACTGGAGGTTTCACTTCCTTTAATTCCTTCAAAGATTCCAGCATCTGTGTTTTGGTTCATCTACTCACTACTTTCACAGAATTATTGTATCCTCTGATCTTTTCAATCTAGGCTTCAAATGTTATTAGATAACTTGGTCTTCCAATAAAGGCAAACTACACAAATCACACAAGGTATCAGTTTCCCTAGAGTGTATTTTCCTCAATTTAAAACAAAAGCCCACAAGCCAAAACCACATTTAATAAAAAAACTTTTTTCCAAACACACACCAACCTGCAACAAAATGGCAGTTTTGTGTTGGCTCTTCATAAGGTTGTTGATGGATTCAAAGAGTCTCCTCATAGATTCCTCAAATTCTGTTTGTTCTTTGCCTTCATATAACCTGTTGAAAGATGCACTAGGTTATCTTTTCAGAAACAAAAAGCTTCCTAGTCCTAAACTGACCAGATTTAACATGACCTTAAAAATATATTTTGCTAGTGGATCCAAAACATCTAACTAAAGGGTTATATCTGTTTCATTGCATTGTGTGTAAGTTCTTTAGCTTGAACTCAACATCAATATTTTTTAAAATTTTTTTAAGCCTTTAAAGAATGACACCTCTCACATTGCAGCTTATTAAAAAGTAATGCCACTTTCAATGTGACTTATATGCAAAAATAATAATTTTTCCACTACTGAGGTTATTTAGGATAATTTCACATAATATCACTGATTCTTTTGTCTGCCACTTTTTCAAACAGCTATATTTACTGCACTCATTAACCAGTTTGCTTTTTTGAAAAAGTCTGTACTTGATGCTTTAAAGTTAAAAAGTATATTTACATTAAACTCACTCATTACTTCTTCATTCCCTGTTCTAAAGTTTGAATCTTACAGGTAGTCTCCTGTGTTATTCACACTGTCTATTAACACTAAACACTGCTTATGTAAATGTTAAAAAGCACTGGTGACATGCTCAATTAGTTACCTGAAATAGCTGTCAAAAGCCAAAGAAAAACAAGCTAAGAAAACATCAAGGTGACAAGAGAAACCTGAAAAGTGTGTTGAATACTGTAAACTAAATCCTGCACCTCTGATGCAATGCCTTGCTATAAGAAGAGAAAAAAAAAATCCATGTTTTGAAAGTCATGTATTACAGTGCCTTGTGTTTTTCTTTTCAAGTTGAAACTTCTTTCAATAACAGAACTAAAGGCAAATTAAGAACTTTTGTCTACAGCAAGAAAAAAACACTGCCATTCATACAGTGACTAGAAAGAAGTTTTGAAGAAAAGAAACATTTGAGAGGTGCACTATTCAGGGCCTGTGGCCTCTGCACTGTTTACGTCAATGCTTGTCAATGAGATTTAAAGCAGTTATTGGAAAGGAACTCTTAAGACCCAAAACATTATCTGGAGATTAAAAAAATTACACATACACATACACAACCTACATGTTGCATACTACTTGAGGTACATCCCTCCTGAGGCATGATAGCTACATAAAAAATGCATACCAGATAAATGTACATGTATAAGGCTTCTACAAACAATTTTTAGTAATAACAACAGTCATTTATTTTCAAGTGGTATTTTAATGGTTTGATTTTTGGTTAAATAATACATTTTGTAAAAAATATACTAGGGATTGTGACACATGGGGTCTATTTAAGATTTATTTTTTTTTTAATGGGAATTAAATATATTTAAATTGTTAAGTTGTAACAATATGACTGTCTCAATCTAAATATATTACTGCTACTTGGCTAATACACTGATACAGCTTTTATTGACTACACAACATTGCTGCAAAAGTTAATTGTTTCTAAGACTTGTTTTTTAATTCAAGTGGAAGTTTGAAGGTTTCTTGACTAAACCTGTGGAGCAAGGAGGGAGGCAGAAGCATCACATCATAGGTATTAAAGGTGTTTTTACACCAGGACTAACTTAGACTGGGCAGAAGGATAATTCTTTTTCCTGAATCATCTAGCTTCCATTTAGACACTGTTTTCTGTGTTCTATTTCCATTAAAATTCCTTGTTCTTAAAACAAATTTATAAAGATTGGTAATAATTTCCTTGGAAACAACTTCTTTCCAACAGTGTACATTAATCTCACCAGTGAAAACAACCCTAGGTCAATGAAAGGAAGAAAGCAAACATTTCATGTTTTCAAATTCTGTGTTATGTAAACCCTTGGCTAACATATACTGACCTTTCTACAAAACAGTTACTGAACAAACAGCTGCAAGACATAACCTTAGTTCAGCTAACTGGAGTAAAAAAATGTTCACTTCCATTACATCTATGTATCTTCAACAGAACTGAATGAACACAAACGAAAATAGAACTTGGTTATCTTCAATAGATCTGTCTGACAAGATAGAAACGTCTTCCATTTTGTCTTACATTACAAGTCATTATTCATCTCTTTCCTACAAAATTTTCGCTTTGTAATGTCTCTTACCTTCAAACAAAGCATCTTAGTTTCTCAAGCAGCCATCAAATTAATGGGAGAATGACCTAGAGATCTGTCTCAGCTCTATTACATCAAAGTATTTGCCTCCAAGAAGGCTAATCTCAACCCTTGAAAGTGAAGCACTTTAATCATAAATTCTACATTTTCTCACAGAAGAAAATGCATTAATCCATTTTATTCCTATCTTATTTTTTTCATGACCAGTTTAACAATAGGAGAGTAACTGTGAAGAGTACTTCTTTCTCCCCATCTCCATTTTCCCTAACCCTGAACACCACTATACATCTCTAATCCATTGAATCTCCCCTATAAATTCCTTAACTGGAGATCTGAAACTCTGAATTCAGTTGAACCATGACTTCTGAGAATTACATTGTTCTATGAACGGTCTGATCTCCTGAACATCATGACCTCAAGGACAAGCATCCAGTTTCAAGCCATCTGCCACAATGTTTGGTTAGCCATTGTTCTTAGGCCAAGCCACCCGACAAAAAGAAAAACCACACCTTGAAATCAGCTGCTATTACTAAATGTGTCTCTGGAATTTACACTGTGAATGAGAAAGCAAATTTTTGAGGATACCTTCTCCAAAAAAATATCTCAGCAATGTCTGTTTTGTAGACCAACTGCCAGCTTTTCTGTTCTTTTCATAAAAATGAAAGCTACAGTTCTGTTCTGGAATCAGTTTTTGCTGTTTCTCAGATCTACTTCTATTTCTGATGTTGGACTGATAGCCTGGGTACTTACTGTGAAAATAATGTCCTTGATCTAACAATGAACTTGAAAACATATTCCAGTGCTTTCAGAGTTCTTAGGATAGGTTCACATTGCTCCCCTCGGCTGGAGGTATCCAAGTAAGTCTTCAGAACAGTCATTAATTTCCTGAAATTAAAAAACATTTTACAAATAATTTTTTAAAAATTAACTTCTCCAACTTGTTTGGCTACTGTAAATAAAAATGAAAAAGGATTGATTGTGCAACTGCTGCCTTTCAATCCTAGCAAAATCACATACTAACGCACAACCTGTGTGACATTCCTGTTTAGTTGGAACTGGTGCAAATTTAGCACAAGACACCATAAGATATCCTTAACTATTCCAAACCTTCGGCTAAGGTATTCAATTTATTTTTCCTAAGACAAATTAAAGTTCTGCTTCTATCTGCCACCCCATTAAGCTGCCAGAACAAGACTTGAGGTAGGTTAAAAAAAAACAACAAACAAACAAAAAAACCAAAACCATTTATCCTGTTAACAGCACCTCTCCAAGATCAGCACTAACTGAAGATGCTGTCTTCATAAATCAAAGAATTTTTTTTTTCATCAACTGCAAAAACCTTTTTCAAATTAAGCATTAAATTTACTGTATAACTTGTTTCCACAGCTTCTATGAATCCCTGTCTTCCAATCTGGGCATTATCCAGAAGGTCCCAAAATAATTTTAAAAACCAAAATTAATATTTTTTAAAAAGCAGAATCCTGTTAATTTGCCTAGTAGCATGACCATATAGCAAATACCAATGCTCCATTTCAGAGCAGACTACATAACAAATACCAAAATTCCAGTTCACTGCACTGAAATCCTCCTGGTGCAACAACAGACTGCTAACTGCATCCAAGGACTTGACAGTTCTCGTATGATTTTTTTCCCCCATGAATTCTCTCACTGTGAGTGAACACATGGAAATCTAAATAAAAGGGTTAAGGACATCCTCAAATGCTCACTTGTGGCACTTCAAATTAAGGCCAGAAATGTAAGTATATAACGTCAGCTAAGTATCTTCTGACAAATTTGACAGGATCCAGATGAAGTGCTCAGACATAGCAAAATCCAAAAATGAGAAAAATTAATGACAAGGAATCATTAAATCCCAAATCAAATACTATTTGTCAATTAACTCTGCTTATAATATGTTTCTCATAGGCAGGCTTGTTTATAGATAAGCAAACAGCAGTTTCAAAACAAGTCATCATTCACTACATCAGAAAAGTTATAAACAGAATTTACTTTCTTCAGTGTGAAGGTGAAGGTTTAGAAAAAATAAACAAAAAAGAAGAGATAGCAGACTTACTTGTATGCCAGTGTTGCACTGAAATGCTGCTGGATGTACGCTTCCAAAACAGCGTTAAAATGCTGAAACTTACGGTCTGCAATGAGTCCTATGATGTATATCTAAATAGACATGACCATAATGAGCATTTCTGCATAAAGTCACATTTTTAAATCAAATACAAGTCTTCTGAAATATGTTTGATAATCTACTAAGTGTTTTTACAGCAGTTTGTTTTTCAAATAGTAATATTGCATCTGTTCTCTAGAAATTTTTAAACTATTTTCCTGAAAAAAAACCTACTTGCTGTGTCATTCAAAATTCTCAGGCTCTTTTATTTGATTAATGAAATTATTTGGTGCCAATTCTTACCAGTGCATCAAAGACAAGGATGTCATATTCATTACTGTGGGAATGTTCCATCATGATGTTGAACAGGGCATCGAGCGTATCTTGAAGAAACTATATAGCAACACAAAATGAGACACTGGCAAACAATGACATGTCGGTTTTCAGATAATAGTACTGGTTCCTCTGAAGTTTAAACTTCTAAGGCCTTCACTGAAACATCACTTAGCTTACAAAAACAATTCCAAGGATTTCAGCTCTAGTTTCTTTAAGAATCTACATCACCAGCCACAAGTAACCAATAATACAAGTTCAGCTCATAGTATTTTTAGCTTTTCCCTAAGCTTTATCAGTAACATAAGTATCTAAAATTGCATTCCTAACTCCTTAGTGATACATATACCTCTTCATTGCTATTTTCACATACATTGTGATTAAAAAACCACTCAATACTTCTGTGGTCTGATTCAAAGCCTAATTTAAATCAAAGGAAAGTCTCCCAGTGACTTGAAAGCCAAATCATTGATTAAATTTTATTTGCTTGCAAGGTCTCCTTCCTTCTGCTCTCCAGCTGCATCTAATGCTTACATTTAAAGAATAACACTTCTAATAAGTTCCTTATCTGAATGCTGGAGTCTGCCACTGTCTAAAATATTAACTTTTTATTCATACTATACTTATTAACAAAGCACTGGGTACATAACACACTTTTTAAAATATTAACAGGTAAATTATGAACTGTAAAGAAAACAGGAGGAATTCTATAACGTTTAAGATGAATAAAAGCAAACAGTCCAACAGAGACTGTAGAAATTATTTTAGTTACTGCCTTCATATCCTACCTGGTTTTAAAATATTTTTTTCTGTAAATGTTTTAAATTAATCTTTGTCTGTGACATATACATAAACACCTGATGAAAGCAACAATGACTCCAAATAATACTCTTGATATTTAATTGTCCATTCATGCACAAAATCTCCAGGAAAATAAAACAATAGAAACCAGAAAATTATCCTAATAGATTAATTACCAATGAAAGCAGGGTAATTTGACTAGCAATCCAGCATCTAACAGTAACCAATACCAGAGCAACAAGTTAAAAAAAAAAAAAAGATTAGCACTTAAGAATCCTGTCCAGGTGCTTACTTGCTCCCTCTAATGAAGAGCTTGGCCCATGTCTGTGCAAACTAAGCATAACAAAAGCATTAGACTGAATGCCATTCATAAAACAAAGTATCACTGACAGGCTTCTTTCAGCTCCTGTGTTTACTGTAACTGACCCTCTACCTTCTACATTTTGAAACTATGTAGCATTTTTTCTGCAATGTCTGCCATGACAAAAAGGGACATGAAGAACAAATAAAGTAATTATAGAAAGATACACCTTCACAACTTCCTCTCCATCCACAATCTTCAGTTTCTCCAGGTTCTCCTGAAGGAGCTCTGGCTTCATACGCCACTTCAAAAGGCCTAGCAAACCCACTAAGAGGAAATAAATGGACAAACAACATAAGATGTAATTATAATTTGTGCAAATATATTTCTAAAACTTCTGGCTATTTAGAAGTTACATACCATTCTGAGTTAACTTTGTAGAACAAACAAGGGTTGAAATATAAAATGCATCTCGTGAGCTCACTGATAGCCCCCCTGCATTGCTTGGATTCCTGACTAAGGTTGCTCCTTTATTTTCCATGTGTTGACGTGTAGAAGGTAATGTCAAATAAGCACTAGCATCCTCCATTCTTTTACTGTCCCCCTGAAAAACAACATACCATTTATTGCTTATTTCAAACACTGGATTTAGAATTAAACTTATGTTGTCGTTTCTACGAAAGTAAGCAAAACCCTGTATTTCTATGGACTTAAGTGCATGCACTGAATGATAAAGAACCTCTGAGCTCCAGCATAGCTTTCACAGGTAAGCCAAGAGTCAGTGTCAGCAAGAAAGGCTGCAATGAACATGCAGGGAAAATACTGCTTTGAAATGATAAAGGTATGTGTTTTAAGGTGCAGTAAGGAAGTCTGAGTTACAAAAACAATAATCTAGAATTATTTTCTAAAGTTTTGGGGTTGTATTTGATTCTGTGACTGTAGGTGTGCAGTCCCTACTTTCTATGAAACTATGTGTAAGGTTAAAGTTTTACCATAATATAAAATTTTACCTAGACAGACTAAAGTCAAAACCCTTATACAGCAAAACAGACAGCATTTCTAAGTTTTATGATTGTATCAAGCTTGCCAAATAATTACTACTTAGAATTTTTTGAACCAGAGGAGAATCTTGACTTCCCCTTTTTGAGACAAATTAGACAGACAACAGGGAACAGGCTTGAAAATTTGATCCTAAAGTTTCTCAAAAAAGATTCAATGCTTGAAGGCAGTGAAAAAGAGGTACACTATTCAAACTCAGCAGTTTTCATGTTACTTATTTTGAAAGACCAGATGTAAATTACTTAAACCACTTATAGCTTACTAGTACTATTTTTAATACTAGAACACCAACATATGTCAAAAAATCTGCCTATTTCTCCCAAACATAAACTAGGTCAACTCTGTTTAGCAATTCTTATCTATGCTGTTACCTTAAAAAAATTACTGGGTTGTTGCAGGACTGAATTAGATAGAATTTTGTAACTAACATTAACAGCACAGTCATACAATGCAATAATTTCCCTCCTAATCTGAGTATTTATCGATATTGGTACCAATCAAGATAAATAACTAATCACTGCCATTCATCTTTGTTGGACTACCTAAACAACTTGGTTTACTTTAATGAATAGACCATTAAGAAAGACCTATGTAAAATGTCTATGCATTGGAAGTGATTTTATAGAATCATAAAATGGTTTGGCTTGGAAAGGACTTTAAAGATGACCTATATCCAAGCCCCCCGCATTGGCAGGGACACCATCCTCTAGATCAGGTTTCTGGTTCTTAGTTCCTGCTAAACACTGCTCCTCAAGAGAGGGAAAAACCAACAAACAAAACCTAAATAAAATCCCACATTAAGCAACAAAAAAAAAACCAAAACAAATCTTGAAACATCTCACCTCCCTGCTTCAGTTCACAAAGTCCAAAATGCTTGCTGAGTCAAGTCAGGGCTAGACTTTCACACCCAAAACCCAATTCCTGAAACTTGCACCTATGTTCTCAAGTAACTGCACAGAGCAGTTTCAAACCATGAATTCCAAAGATTACATTTCCTGATTATTAATCTGACAAAGACTCTAAAAAAATCAAAACAACACTTTTCCCCCCCTTAAGCAAGAATAACCTCATGCACCCAGGTGTTGAGCTTTAGCAATTACTTCCTCTATACTACAAAAGACCAAAAGCACAAACTTGAGTAATAATAGTAGGAAAAGTAACCAGTTCTCATTGTGTTTAAATAACATCACTCTCTAATTAAAACACAGAGCAGTGTTTACTGACCATGGAACAACTGACACGATTTTTCTGTACTGACAAAAAATTCTTACCTTTGACAGAGTAACAAAATGTATCAAAATAAGCAATGCAGTCAAAATCAACAGTGTGAAAAAAGGTGTCATATGGGGGAAAAAAAATATGAAAAAATGGATCCAGTACCTTTAGAACTAGCAAATCATGGATGCCATCTTGAAGAGTTGTTCCATCCTCCTTCATTAGTCTTATATAGGCCATTGCAAAATTCTTTTCTCCTTTATCTTTAGCTGCAAAGGAAAATATTTTCAGTTGGCCATACGTCAAGGAACTGAAATTGACTCAAGTAAAAAAATTCCTTACTTACACTCTTGAGATGACCTGTGTCTGAACATGAAGCGTAGATGGATCCTTTGCATGTCTTCAATAGGCACTGCCACCTTTTGTAAAATCAGAAAATGATCAATAGAGTTCAAAAGGGCAGAGGCAAAAGATGTTTTCACTTATAATGTGCTCTTATTTTAGATTAAATAAGCACCACTTCTACTGGCTGCATTATGTCTTTCCACAGACCATTTAAAACTATTGAGTGTGATAGCAGCGTAAGTGGTGGCTGATAAGCAATTCATCATTAGACGTAGCTCAAAGTCTAGCCACACTGAGGAAATTAAACACAGAATGCAGTGAGTTAAAGCAGACAGGTGTCTGTAGGCTAGAAAATAAGTATACTGCAATCTTGCTAATTATCCTGTTAACCACACAGAATTATGCAACACCTCTGCACTATGAAAATTCCCCATATCAGACAGCTAATTTGCTGAGTAATTTAGTTAACAGGTGAAGAAGGTAGGTAAATTTTAGCAAAATCAATAGTCTTAAAAAACCCATGCTTGCTACCAAGCCTAAGAAATTTGTGATAAGAACTGCTTCTGGAAGCCTCTGGGCATTTTACACAGACATTCAAGCTAGATAAGATAGCTATTGGTACGTCTCTAAAGAAATTCTAGACAGTGGGGTTTTTTGCTCTAAAATTTGAGTTTTTGTGGCAGAGTGTGTGATTTGGTTTGGGGGGCTTTTTATTTTAATAGTGCAATTTAAGCTCCTTATTACTGTTGGGTCACTGCATCAGAAAAAAATGCAGTATTTTGTTTTTTAATAAGCCATGTCAGAATGTATCAGGTTATTTAAGGTGACCTCATTTGTTTTGTTAAATAAAACCTTAACATAATTTTCCAGGCCAAATTTTAAGCCTCAGTAATCATTCATCTCCAGTAACTGATGCATGACCAGGGCTCTGTCCTCCCAGCTGCATTCGGGACCAAATTGTTTTTGTTAGAGAAAGTGCAACTGCGTGTGAGGAAGTAAGAAATTAAGAGAAAGAGAAAAAACCCCAAAGGGAAGGGGAATGTGTCCAGGCCGTACCTTCAGTGTTTCCATCCAACGCGGCTGTTTGACCTGGTAGTAAAGAACCGACCTGTATTCACTGACGGGCTTGTCCCCCGCTCCCAGGCAAACGGCGCCCTGACCGACACAGG